GTAGTCATCCAGACATGCACCAGTGGATTCACACAGACTCCAATACAAACCTGCATTGATACACATGTCTTCAAAAGTCATCCAAAGGAATGTCGTATTCTAGGAGTTATATTTAATCCCTTAATACCGCAGTGTGCTCTATGCTGTCCCTAATTAGATGGTTCTAAACGCCGCCCTGCGGTCTTATGTACTTACCCCTCTCCTCTGTCACTGTGTCACCTCCTCTCCTCTGTCACTGTGTCACCTCCTCTCCTCTGTCACTGTGTCACCTCCTCTCCTCGGTCACTGTGTCACCTCCTCTCCTCGGTCACTGTGTCACCTCCTCCCCTCGGTCACTGTGTCACCTCCTCCCCTCGGTCACTGTGTCACCTCCTCCCCTCGGTCACTGTGTCACCTCCTCCCCTCGGTCACTGTGTCACCTCCTCCCCTCGGTCACACATGTACAATATTGATTAAATATATATAATTTTCATTATATATTTAAAATTAATATAATAAAATACATATAGAAAGAAATATATATCTATATACATAAGTATATATCACTATAATTTAAAAAAATTATATATACACACGTGTGTATTTATAATAATTCTATGTATATATTTATGTAATTTTACATAATTCGGTCATTTTATTACAATTTGCAGGAACTGCCTGACAACCCAGGCTGAAAGTTTACGGAATTTAATTTGCTAGCACTATATTTAACCCTGTAACTTTCCAATACACCATAAAACCTGTACAGGGGTGTACTGTTCTACTCTGAAGACTTTGCTGAACACAAATATTAGTGTTTTGAATTTTTTGCATTTTTCACACACAAATGGCACTTACACTGACAAAATAATTGTTGTGATACGTTTTTACTGTTTTAAAACACTAACATTGGTGTTCAGCGAAGTCTCCCGAGGTATAACAGTACCCATCGTGTTTTCAAAAGTTACAGCGTCAAATATAAGGCTTGCGTTAAAGTTTTTTCACATTAAAATTCGCCAGGTAGGTTATGTTGCCTTAGAGACCCTACGGTAGCCCAGGAATGATGGCATACCATTTGCAATAGTAGACAACCCAGGGTATTGCAAATGAGGGATGTTCAGTCTTTTCTAGTAGCCACTTAGTCACAAACACTGGCCAAAATTGGCGTTCAAATATTAACACTAACCTTGGCCAGTGTTTGTGACCAATTGGCTACTAAAAGACTGGACATACCCCATTTGCAATACATTGGGTTGTCTACTTTTGCAAATGGTATGCCATCATGGGGGTAATTCTCATTCCTGGGCTACCATATGGTCTTAAAGGCAACGTAACCAATCTGGCGAATTTCAATGTGAAAAAAATTAAAAATTGAACACGCTATATTTTGACCCTGTAACTTCCAAAACACCATAAAACCTGTACATAGGGGGTACTGTCTTACACGTGAGATATCGCTGAATAAAAATGTGTATTTTATTGCAGTAAAAACAAACAGTATTTTGACATTCACAGTTAAAATGTCACATAGAACTAAGACATTTTTAAAAAATCTTATTGTCTCCCCTTTTAAAAATATTTTATTCATATTAAATTATGTTCTATACCTAAATATTTGATGTTAAATGAAAGCACTGTTTCCCCTCAAAAAAATGATAGATATAAGTGTGGGTGCATGTAATATGAAAGAGGTGGATTACGGTTGGACAGACATATAGCGCAAATGCCAGGTTTTGTTTACGTTTTGTTTTGATCACAACTTGTACATTTGGCGTCTGTCTTAAGGGGGTTAACATTTATTTAATGCACATGTATTTGGCCTTCAAAAGGCCTGGGATCTAATTTTGCCCGGCGGCCCCAAAGGCTCTGTCTGCCCCTGTTGACGATTATTCAGTTGAGCCGTCACAATTTTATTTTATTTTTTTAAACTAATTTTTTTTTTTTTTTTTTTAGAACAATTTTAGGCACTCTCCTTCTCAAATACATATCATCGGTCACAGTCTGGGTGCACATATTGCCGGAGAGGTTGGAAAAAGGAGGCCAGGAATTGGGAGAATCACCGGTAGGTTTTTTTATATTAAAATAACGTTTCATTATAGAAGTGCTTGTAATGGCTTTATTGGTATTAAATTTAATGGCACTGTGTCCTGGAAGTCTAGCACTGTTCAAATCCAACCCCAATTAATACCATTTGCTCCAATGCTATTCTTTAAAGGAACACTATAGTCACCTAAATGACTTTAGCTAAATAAAGCAGTTTTAGTGTATAGATCACTGTCATTTAGGAGTTAAATCACTTTTTCTGTTTATGCAGCCCTAGCCACACCTCCCCTGGCTATGATTGACAGCATGTGTGGAAAAAAACTGGTTTCACTTTCAAACAGATGTAATTTACCTTAAATAATTGTATCTCAATCTCTAAATTGAATTTTAATCACATACAGGAGGCTCTTGAAGGGTCTAGCAAGCTATTAGCATAGCAGGGGATAAGAAAATCTTAATTAAACAGAACTTGTAATAAAGGTCTAAATAGAGCTCTCTTTACAGGAAGTGTTTATGGAAGGCTGTGCAAGTCACATGCAGGGAGGTGTGACTAGGGTTCATAAACAAAGGGATTTAACTCCTAAATGGCAGAGGATTGAGCAGTGAGGCTGCAGTGGCATGTTATATACACCAAAACTGCTTCATTAAGCTAAAGTTGTTCAGGTGACTACAGTGTCCCTTTAAAAATGTTGCTTGCTATTTGAGACCACTTCCTCCAAGCGCTCCAATAAGTGAATTGAGCGCTGCCACTTACCACCTGCAATCACATCCAGTGCTGAACATTTTGGTTGGAGATAGATCTCTGAAAAGGCTGTGTTGGAATCCCTGATAGGCTAATTCCAGGGAAATCTGCCAGACCTTTCAGTTAGTCTGTCAGCTTTAAGGGCCATGCAAAAGCACCTCTTGTACTATACTATACTATACTAGACTAACCAGATGAGATAAGAACAGTATTGATGAATGCTTAAAATGACGTAACTGGTATCACAGCATATTTTTTACAGTACTATGAAAATGGTAGGGTTTTTTGTTTTGTTTTTTACAAAATCTTACAAGTTGGAAATATTTATTATAAATATATAATGTTACAAAGAAAGTATTACAGTGTAGAATTCAACAACTTATTTGATAACTTACTACTGGAGGCAACATAATAAACTAGTAAGATTTATTTTGCAATTTCGAAGAACATTCCTCCCATTGTGTAAAAGTGTTCCCTTATTGGATTAATGTTGCCAGGGTTATCCACTAAAGTGTGAATTCACAATTAGAGTTGCGCGTACCGAACATTACGGTTTTTGGACCCCGGACACGGACATTTCAGTGTGTTCAGGTTGGTGTTCGGCGATTTTAATGGCGCGTTTTGAAAGTCTCCAGGGCAGCCAATCAACAAGCGTTTATCTCGTGTGCTCTTCGAAGCCATCACAGCCATGCCTACTAATGGTATGGCTGTGATTGGCCAGTGCAGCATGTGACCCAACCTCTATAAGCTGGAGTCACATAGCTCCGCACATCACATGCGCTCTTATTAGTGTAAGGAGAGGATACTGCAGCTGTGAGGGACAGATGAGGAAAGAATTCTGGTGTTGAATCTGCAAACTACAGCGATTATTTTTTTGGGTGCTATAATACTACATTTTTGTACCCTGCTCAGAGCCCAGTGCCACAGGGAGTGCAGTGCACTTGCAACTGCATGTGTGCCAGGCACATTACTTTAATCCTGTTCTGGTAGCTCAGTGGGCAACATCTAGGCATTTTTAAATACTGCCATTTTTTTTGGTGCTAAATAGTACATTTGCATTTCTTGCAGTCTAATAAAACCCTTAAATACTACTGTTACATTGTTGGTTTAAAAAAAGCAAACCTTTTTTTTTTGCTAAATAGTACATTTGCGGCCTCATATCTGAGAGTCAAATACTGTGGTTACATTGCACTTTGAAAAATTCACATTTCTTTAGTGCTAAAAAGTAAATTTGGGGCGTGCAATTCATATCTGAGAGTCAAATACTGTGGTTACAGCGCAGTTCTAAAAATTCTAAATTTTTAAGTGCTAAATTGTACACATCTGGTGTATGTGTGCAACACTGGCTAGTTACTGCTTCTCAAGAAAGTCTAAAGACAAATGTTGTCTATGGTGCAGGCAAGACTGAGACAAATCATTTGGGTTACGTTTTGACTGTTGACGTGTTAATTATCTTAGACCATTAAAATTCAATAATCAATGAAAAAAAGTGTCAGACAAAAATATGTATTATAGACTGTTAAAAACAAGACTAAAAGTCATGCTATAACAAAATTAAACATGTATGTATGTATGTGCCAACCAGTGGCTGTAAAAACAGTTTTACTGGTTACATTCATGACTACACACTCTAGTGAACAGGACCTCTTTATTTTAAATCATACAGCATCCTTTTCATCTGCAGACCGGCAAGGAGGGCAGGGTTGAGGAGTGGGTGGAGGATCATGTCCTAGACCCCACATGGAATGAAGGTCATGTGACGTGTGCAGTTTGGAGGAAGAGGCGGTCACACAGAGGCACCAGCACAGCATAAGAGGGAGCAGGGTGCAAAAGCAGAGCGACCATCCACTAGCGCTCATCGGCATGTATTAGCTCTAGAATTACCACAGTTATCCAAGTAACAGATGGAGCGATCAAAGGAACCATAACTGATTTAATGAGCCATTCGCAGTTGTACTGTAGCGGCTGTGCGTTATCACCTTGCTGCTGATAGCCTGTCTATAACTTCGGCCTTCCCGCTCACCGCCTAATATGTCACGTGCCCACAAGGTAGAACTCCACCTTGCACATGCTGGAGAGACTGTGCGAGGAGCAGCAGGCGATAGTGGAGTTTCCAGCTGCAGCACGCACGGGTCAGTCGCTCTGCACCACACTTGCCCTCCAATAGATCCTTGTTAAAGGATTTAAAGTGTACTCATTCAAATTACAAGGCCTGGAAAGATTCCTGTATTGTTTATCGTCACTATCTCCCCGCGTCGGGAGTGGGTAATTTGCGTGCCTGCTGCCTTCCTTGGATGTGGCAGCCGTCTCTCAGGCTCCCTCTCAGGAATCGATTCCCAGTTACCCGTGGTCACCATGGTAGGGGCAAAAAGTACCATAGAAAGTTGATAGGGCAGACATCCGAATGTGTCGTCGCCGTCACAGGGACGTGCGATCAGCCCGAGGTTATCTAGAGTCATCAAAGTGCCTGTGCAACGACTGCCAAGTTGCCCACATTCTAACTTGTGCTGATTACTGGGTGGCCACCCTGCTGGATCCCCTTTACAAGAACAATGTGCTGTCCTTAATTCCCTCACTGGAGCGTGATCGGAAGATGCACGACTACAAGCGCACGCTGGTACACGCGCTGCTGAGAGCATTCCCACCTGACACCAAGGGGCTCAGTGGAAGCACAAGGCAGAAGAGAAGGAAGAGGTAGCCAACGCAGCTGGGGTACCGCCAGCACCTCAGAATAAGAGGGAGCAGGGTGCAAAAGTGGGAGCATGGCCAAAATGTGGAAAAGCTTTGTCAGCATGCCACAACTAGCACCCAGCTGATATGGAACATCTTAGCAGGAGGCAGCATTTCAGCAACACGGTGGAACAGTACGTGTGCACACGCCTACATGTACTGACTGACTGGGACTGCCCCATTTAACTTCAGGGTCTCCAAATTGGGCACATGGCCTGCGCTTGCCCTTTATGCCTTGGAAGTGCTGGCCTGCCCTGCAGCTAGTGTATTGTCTGAACGTGTGTTTAGCACGGCAGGGGGCATTATCACAGACAAGCACAGCCGCATTTCCACAACGTGGACAAGCTCACATTTATTAAAATGAACCAGACATAGATCCCACCAGACTTGTCTTTACCTTGTGCAGTATAGACCTTTTATACCAGACTCACCCAGCCATTGTTATACCAAAGTGCACTTATTCTTTGTTTTTGTTTTTTATATGTCCCAATATTTTGGGGGCTACCCCAATTAATAAACTCTAAACAAAGTGTCTACCTCCTCCACTGCCGCTTCCACCTACACAGTCACGGTCACCACCTCCTGCGCATCCACCTCCTCCTAGAGCAGGGTGCAAATGCGGAGCGGCCATCCCTTAGACAGTACGCCCGCTACTGCCCACCCCACCCAGGGACCGAGCACACCAAAGCCAGCTCCAAGGAGCTCCCTGGCATGGCAGTTCTTCAGACAATGTGCTGATGACAAGACACGAGTGGTTTGCACGCTGTGAAATCAGAGCCTGAAGCGAGGCATACGTTCTAAACCTGAGCACAACCTGCATGACCAGGCATCTACATACAAAGCACGAGCCTGTTGGAGATTGACCGTTTTAAAAACCAGATGGCCTTATTGGACTGCAAGAAATTCACCGCAGGCCGCAAATTATTATTTTTATTTTTTTTTAATGTCCCAATAGTTTGGGGGCAACCCCTGTTAAAATAGCCAAGACTTTTTTTTTTTTTTTTTTAAATTACTATCTCCTTCTCCACCGCCGCTTCCACCTAGACCGCCACCTCCTCAACCTATGGGTCACTTAGTATAAACTATGTACACAATAGAGGCTTGTGAAAACCTTTTCTCCATGCATCAGGAGTTGAGCTCAGTTTGAACAATGAAAAAGAATACCCTGCACTCCATCCCTCTCTCAAATGGATAATTCTGGTGATCCTCCTGACAGCCATGCTTTAGATTTTGATTGATGTTCTTCCAAAGCTAAAATCAAAGATTCCATCTAGTGCTATTTTATGGCTCAGCTGTATTTTTAATTTTAATGTTATTTTAAGTGATTTCCCTATCCACATTTGTTTGCAGGGCATTTGTCCTACTCTTACCCCCATTTTACTTCCTTTTGCAGCTCTAGCAATTTTCAGGACTTTTTTTTTTTTTGAGGCATTTTTGTGCCCAAAAGTTTGGGTCCCCATTGACTTCAATAGGGTTCGGGGTCAAGTTTGAGCTCGAGCTTTTTGACAAAGTTCGGCCGAACTCTGTGAACCCGAACATCCAGGTGCCCGCTCAACTCTATTCACAATTTAATTTAAAGGGAATTTCAAATGTAAGACTTGGGTAGCGTCATGGAAGCATAGAGACTCAGAATTAGTCCCAGTTTGGCTACCTTGGCTTTAAATTGAAATTCACTTCAAATTTTCACTTTGGTAACTAACCCTGTCTGAATTCTTAATTACATACAGACCTTTCGTATGAACGCTCTTGCCATTTAATATCTAACGCAGCCAGGCCAAACCATAAAACACTGCTTTTTTTTTTTTTTTTTCTGCTGGCCGCTTCCCTCGCACCATATATTTCCACTTGACTGTAGATGGAAGAAAATATTTCTGAATCTGCTTAATGCCAGTTTCCCTCCTCTTTAATAATTGTAGATATATTTGGAATATATTGAAATATATCTAAAAGTATAGCAATCCTAAATAAATGACCTAGTCACGATCAGATCAGGGTGTCTGCGTGTGTCTACAATATTTTTTTTTTTTTTTGTCTCGTGACCTTTTTTGTATTTTAATTTTTAAAGTTTTCATAGTACAATTACATAATTGCACTACTGCTATTAGTTGGTTATTGTTTAAGAGTAAGTCCATAAAGAAATGGAAAATATGGCTTTTACACTTTTGAGTGTTGGACTTGTTTTATTACAAATATCGGTTTTAACAAAATACATAAATGAACATTCGGTGTCTTCTAGACAAAAAGCACAGGTAACCAAAAGCACATAAATTAATATAATTTAAGGATTCTCATTACATTGGTTTATTTCTATCTAGACTTTACATTTTATTTTTAAACATATTAGAAGTGGTCTAATTTTTTTTTTTTTCTTTTCTTCTCCTATTTCTATCTAGGTTTGGATCCAGCAGAGCCCTATTTCCAGGGAACCCCAATTGAGGTCAAACTGGATCCATCAGATGCATATTTTGTTGATGTCATCCATACAGATGGTTCTTCAGTCCTAGCCAATTACGGTTCGTATAGAAATAAATATATGTAAAGTCCTTATTGACAAATGTGTAATGACATTTTATGTTTCAGGATTTGGTGGTTATGGAACAAATGAAATGAGCGGACATCTGGACTTCTTTCCCAATGGAGGAGAGCGCATGGCCGGATGTAGTAATAAACCAGTTGTTAGAAAGATTCAGCTTGACCACATTTGGGAAGGTATTTAGATGGGAAATGTTTGCATATTAAGTTATGATGATTTATAACTCAACATTTTGTGCTTTTAGTTAAATTTTTTTTTTTTTTTTCTTCACTAGACGTTGGTGATGCTTTTGCGTGTAATCACCTTCGAAGTTACAAGTATTACACTGAGAGTATCCTTTCCCCAGAAGGGTTTGTTGGATACCCTGCTAATTCCTATGAAACTTTCATACTGGTAAATTATAAACAACAAAAACTGATGTTGAATGTTTTAAGAACATCTTAAACAGTAAATGTCCATGTTGTATTTTGTCTAACTACCGAACTCTTCTTCTCAGGGTGATGGATTCCCGTGTCCCAGCGGTGGTTGTCCTTTAATGGGTCACTATGCAGATACATATAAAGGCGTCACTGGGAGAAATCAAAAGTATTTCTTGAACACTGGAGCCAAAAAACCCTTTTCACGTAGGTTTTCTTTAAAACGAACTTGGTAACCTCACACAAGGAAACCAGATCTATAATCAATAGATTGAAGGGAGCCAGGCACCATAGCCTCAACAGGGAGCACACTGTAAATATGATGATTGGAGTGTGCCTTTAACTTACTATAACATAGAAAAATCAGGACAAACTCAAAGCCCTTTATGAAGGGCCACCTGAATTTCACAAATGATTTCTGAACTAATTTAAGAGCAAATAGATACTTTAGCTAATCAGTAGCTGTGCTTACATTACTCTGTTTTTATAAATGCCTATATGTATTCAATTTCTGCAGGCTGGAGATACAAGGTAACTGTCCACATGAAAGGAGATGGTAATATGTTTGGGTATTTCCAGATTGCATTGCTTGGAAAATCTAAATCATCTGAGAAACCACAAATTTACAAGTAGGTACACACTACTCCACATATTGTAAAGGGATATCTGCACTTTGCCAAGGGATCCATGTTATGGTGGCATAGTGTAAAGGGATATTATCTGCACTTTGTCAAGTGATCCATGTTATGGCGGCATAGTGTAAAGGGATATTATCTGCACTTTGCCAAGGGATCCATGTTATGGCGGCATAGTGTAAATAATTTAAAAATGTACTTAAACACTCCAGACCCTAAAAATGCAAATTTTAATAGAAATTGGTACTTTTAATAAATGTATTCTCTTTACCACCCACCGGCGGTCAGCCAACCGGTCCTGTTACTTCCTTGTAGCATAACTCAGTGGAGACAAACTCAAGAGGCAGCAATTGCCCAGAGCACCTGCCTTGCAAAGACTTCTCAGTGAGCCGCATTGGGAAGTCTGTGATTGGACAGCCACAGAAAGTCTAGGCTGTTGCTGACGCTCTAACTTTTGCAAACTGTTTTTAGATATACCGCAACAAAAAAATGCAGAATAACTTTTTCATGCGATTAAATCTACTAAATAGTTTAGTGTGTGTATGTGTGTATGTATATATATATATATATATATATTTATTTTTTTTCAGTTCCTTTAAATGTAACTCTTGAGACAATTTGCTATTTTCTGTTCTTCATTTAACAATGAAAAACAAATAACTGTGTGGGAATGTTGGTTGCATACTTCGGTGGATGACATTTTGCAGAAACCCCCAAGGAACTTGCACAGGGCCAAAAAATCCCAGGCTTTCATTAATACAATACTATTCGTTATCAGAACACAAATAACATGCAGATTGTGTCTTCCAACATCACAGCGGACTCATCAGCCCAGGAAATTCATACACTTCTTTCATTGATGTGGAGACTGAAGTTGGAGCTGTCACTAAAGTAAAATTTTACTTGATGGATTACTTAAAAGTATTTAAGAACTCATTATATCCTGAGAAGATCACTGTGCAGAATGGAAAAGATGGCCAGGTGTAAGTATTCTTGTCAAAATGCATTTAACACACTTATAAACAAGGCAAAAAAGATTGTTACAGCTATCGTGTGACTGCACGTTGTGAAATCCATTCTAAGCAGTGAGTTAGTGAGAAGACTAGTACTCTCACTATAGCAGCCATATGTCCAATCCTCTCTGAACATTAACCCCTTAAGGAC